CGCCCCCCCCCCCCCCCCTGGCAATCACACAAGAGTTCCACACTGCACACAAACAGTGACCCTTGCACAAGACTGCTCTGTAAATGATGCAGTGTGTTTGCCTTGCCTTCATTCTGTTTACAGAACAGTTTCTTTGGATTCGAAATCAGGTCCTTTTTTGCTAAATGTGTGTAACCTCCTGCCCAGCTACACAAAAGGAAATCTGAATTGTGTTGGGAATTACCATGAATAGTGAATGCCCACTTCCGTCACAGTGGGGTCTAAACCTGTTGTGACATTTTAAAAAGAAAGCCCAAAAGAAACAGTTTTAAGTTGCAATCTGGCATCGAGATCCTCGGATTGTATTATGTACCTGGCACATAGACAGGGGACACAAAGGTCTCCAGTGTGTGTATTACAGGCCCCCTCCTTTCCCAGCAGAAGTAACAGAAAATCACATGGTGAGAGATACCTTGCCTTCCTGCGCAGTGCAACAACAGGCCATGGCTTAATCCTTAGGTCACTCAGTTTACGTCTCACATGTGTGAGATTAATAAAACGTTTTCATGCTGTTCATACTTACTTGCTTTTTTCAAGAGACTTCTATTTTTCTGACGTCTGTGTGATCTCCATCATAGCAGAGACCTGTACAGCCTTTGTTATTAAACAATCAAATCCCCAGCCTGCAAAGAGAAGGGTTAATACTCACCCTTTCGCTGCTTGTTCCACTCATCTCCGCACAAGTTACGCTGGCTGAGAAATCTTCAGCATCTTCAGAGTTTGTCTAATGCCTGGTCCCCCGTTGTTCTCTGTGGTTCCTTCCTCCAACCCCTACTTTACTACGGTGTCCTGTAGCGACCTAGTGGCTGAAGGAAAGAACCACAGCGCTTAGAGAAGTGTCGGATGCTCAAGAGGTTTCAACCAGCCTGATGTTGTGAAGACAACGGAGATCAGTGGTGTGACGGTGGGAGGGTTGAGTAACCCATTGTCAGGCCCCCCCCCTCCCCCCCGGGTTTACTTGTTTGCAGCATTCTGGCTTGGCTGCCATTTTACTCACCTTTGTTTCCTTCTTTGCCTGAACAGACTCTGGAACGTTGCTCACTACTCCCAGGCTCCCTCTTATGGGCAGACAGAAGAGCATCATCTGAGAGAGTCAGATGGGAGTTTCCTGTCTCTGAGTGATGATGTCACACCACTCACTATATATAAACCACTCAGTCCAGTCTGACCTTGCCCTTTGGGTGGTCTCCCTGCTAGTGCATTCCTGCTGCGGAGTATCCTGATTCTGTGTATGACCCGATCCTGGCTGACGTTCTCCTCTGGCTCCTGCTCCTGGCTTGTTCCTGACAACACTGATTACATGGCTCCTGGCTTGCTCCTGCTGACACTGATCTCTGTGTTCCTGACCTGGCTTGGATGACTACCCACTCCAGCTCCTGACTCTGGCTTGTTCCGGTTTATGATTCTGCTTGCTCCTGTGGACACTGTTCTTAATAAATATTTTAACTAGCACCTTTCACTTGTCTGGTCACTTCTCTTTGCACGTGTGGCTTTAAGTTTGTTTTTTCAGGGGGGTTGACAGAGTAGGAAAGGATTAAAACCCCTGTCAAGTGTTTATTGTCTGTGTTTCTGTTGGGTGGATTTATCCTTTCTATTTGTCCAACAGAGACACCTGTTCAGTGATGGAAGACTATAAGGGAAATTCTCATGACTTTGCACATGCTGTTGCGCGTCTGTTCGGCCGACAATTTTCCACCATGTCCCTTCGCCAAAAAGTCGATCTAATGACTGCCAACCAAGACAGATAGTACTGAACCTAATTTCCAGTAATTGGCACATAGATGGGAAAATTAAAAATGCAAATAAAAATATCTGCTTTTATATTTTCTTTCCGGATTCAGCTAATTTACAGCTTTGCCAATAATGAATAAACAAAGGCTCTAAACAGACAAAGTTCTTAAATATCTATTAGAAGAAAAAGCAGTTGTACTAGATGTAAAATGAATTTTGCAAAACAAATATTTTTTTTCGTCCCCTTCTGTGTCCGTCTATTTCTTCCTTATCTCTTCCCGTTTTCTCCCCTTTCCTCCTCATTCTGTTTTTCTTCCTCTTGTTCATGATTTTATTTTCAAAGATTTTTTATTTTCAAATAAAGACAAGGTATGTTAGCATAACAGCAAAGATAAAATGTTTCCACAGAACATAGAGAAGGGAATTTATCAAACCTGGAGCAGACAAAATCTGGAGCAGCTGCGCAAGGCAACCAATCAGCTTCTTTCTTTCATTTCCACATCTTAACTGAACAGAGAAGCTGATTGGTTACCATGCACGACTGCTCCAGATTTTGTCTGCTCCTTTTTTGATAAATTCCCCCACGTGTAATAATGAGAACATGAAATATATAGCCGATAGTAGCAACAAAAACATCCATATAAAGAGGAGTTCCATCAAGTCAGTTGACATCTGTATGAAATACCATGAAGTTTCACGAAATGTGATGTGCCAGTATTCACAGAGGAAAACATTAGCATAGGCAAATTACATTTGCATAGAAGAGATCAATCAAGAACAGTAATGTTAACAATATGGACATTGAAAAGTGCCCTGGAACTTGAAGAAAGAGCAGAAGGGAAAAAGAGGATCCGAAGACATGCACCATCCCCCCC